CCAACAACACAGGAAGCTACTCTGAGGCTCTCCTGGAGACTGTGTATCTATAACCCAGAAACTCCCAGCTGGCCAAGTATGTCTCTTCTCTGGCAGGGAGTGCCAAAAGCCCCAGAATCCTGGGTGAAAACCTAACTGATAGATGTATTATAAACTACGTAAAAGCAAATTCTGGCACTGGCTTGGGGTAGGGAGAAATACCTCCCAGTGTCTACAGTGACGGTTACCCTAGGGCAGCAGAGGTCTCAACAACTAAGTAGGAAACTGTGGACAGGAAAGTAGGATGCAGAGGTTTACTCAGGGTGCCTGAGACTCTGCTGCTCCTTTCCTGAGGAAGAGCTGGCCTGGCATTAAGTGGGGGAAGGAAGGCTGATTAGTATTAACTGTATTTAAATTTATATTTCTTCTTAGAAGAAATAATATATTCATATGATGAAAAAAATCAAACTGTACAGAATGAAATATATGTATATAGCAAAAAATAAGCCTACATCTCTATTCCCCAGTGCCCATTCCCAGAAGTAGACATTATGTGTAAGTCCAGAGAAGTAGTTACATTATACACTGTACTGCACCTTGCTTGCTCTTTTACTTAACAATGTATCTTGGCCCTGGATCCCTATCAGTACATATAAATTTGCTTCTTTTTAAAAATAGCTGCAGAGTATTCCATTGGAGATACTGTGATATATCTAACTAGCCAGTTATCGATCAACCAACCTTTTGCTCTTATTGTCAATACTGTAATTAATATCTTTATACGTACTTCTTTAGCTACATGGGATTATATCTGTAGGATAAATTCCTATAAATAGAATTATTAAGTCAAAGGGTATATGCATTTCAACCTGAAAGATATTGCCCTCTTTCCTGTAGCATAATTCTCCAATGGTGAAAAAATATGCCTGTTTTCTCACTCAAGGAATTATCGAACTACTTTATCTTTTGTTCTCTGCCAGTCTGACAGATAAAATAGTACCTCATTATAGTTTTAATTTGCATCTCTAATTCTGAATGAGATTGAATTTCATTTCATATATTTAAAACCCATTTTCTTTTTGTGTGAAATATTCATGTTCTTTTCCTTATTGATGTACATATTATGTATGAACTGCAGATGTTTTTGCCAGTTTGACATTTATCTTTTGACTTTATGAGTTTTTTCTATATAGAAATTTCATTTTATGTAGTTATTTTTAAGAATTTCTTAAATGACTTGTAGATTTTGTGCTGTGGTTAGAAAGGCCTTCTTTAT